GCGAGAATAAATGTGGGTGCCTCTGAGAAGACACAGAACAGAGCTGGGAGTCAAAGTCTGAGATGAGGAGAAAGACCTGGAAGAAAGCTTAAAGGCAGCAAAACAGGAAAGAGTGAAGGAATGATGAGAAGCCTTGGTTGCAATATTGGAAGATACTTAGATTTTTCAGCAAGAAAAATGGTCTGAGGGGTAACATGCTCAGGAAAATGGAAGAAGAAAATGTAACTGTAATGACTTCTTCTGTAAAGAACCCTTCTTTTTCTGAGATCCTGGGGTGGCAAGCAGCAAATTAGCAAATCCTCAAAATTAATTTGGAAAACCACCACAGTATCTGCTCCGAGAGAAAAGTTTAAACTGTCTAACAGAGTTTTTGTAAGGAAAAGGAAAATGTGCCGGAGGGTTCAGAGTTCTTAAGACCAAGTGATGAACCTTTGAAAATAGGATTTTATAATGGAAATGCAGAGATCATTAACTATTGTAAGTACCTCTAAGAATGACACCTCTATAGTAAATTACATTCAAATTAATATAAAACTGTAAAGATTCTCTGACAGCTTTGATTATGTAAGTTGATTTTAGTAGTTAAATGTTGACTTTCTATAATGCATTCTCCAAATATTATACTGAATGCTGCATCATATATAACAATTACCATGTCACAGTGCTATTTTGTGTAAATTAAATTATTGACAGCAATATAATTTTGTATTCACTTTATTATTTTGATCCATTTTTCTGTCAAAATATACAATGACTCTTCACTAGATTTAGAAACCAGAAAAACTCTTTAGATGGTGAAGTATTATTCTCCATACATTATTTTTCCTTAGCCTGTAATGAGATTGGGGAAGGAGGGGGAAGCAACATTTCATTCCTCCTCTGACATTGTGTGTGTTTTTAAACATGTTGTCAACTTGAAATTGTGTTTCAATAATTGTGCTTATCAAAAAGTCTGCAAAGTCCGTGGCAGGCCTGGTCAGGCTGTCCAGGCATGTGGCAGAGATGCTGTTTTTAGTGTGCTCCAGCACAAGCACTGTCCTCAGTCACAGCATGGAATATGATGTGGTTATGAGCATATGTTATTATTATAGATTGGACTTGATCATCTCCAAGGTCTTTTCCAACCTAGTTGATTCTTTGATTCTGTGAGTCTATGATTATTCAGTCTAGCTTTAAGGAGCTGCTATTGTACATCCCAGGGTGAATACTTCCTGTGCCTTTTATGAGTTAAGGTAAAAAACATCATCTGTGTGGAGCAGCTCTTTCTTCACACCTTCTTTTTCCATGTCCTTTTGGGGGCTGGGGTGTGAGTATGGCAACAGTGATTGTCCATCCTTGGATGCCTGGAGAGTGCTTGCAGGCTGTGGTTTTAACTACTTGTAATGCAGCACTTAGGGTTTTCTCATTCACCTTTCTACAGATGCACAGCCTGTGGGCTCCTTGTGACCTGCACAACACTGGAATGCAGGAATTGGAACACAAGCTCTGTCTTCCTGCTGGATCTCAGCTCTTCTCCAGGCAAGTACCCTGACCCCCAATATGAAGACAGTGCAGCTGGCTCACTTCACATAAAGCCCAAAGCCTTAGTCATAAAGACATGGGGAGGCGCTGAGAGTGGCCCTGAGACATGGTTTTGGGTGCTGTCCTGTAAGATTAAAGAAATGGGCTGAGATGCTTTTAGCCAGAAAAAAGGACTGAATCCAGCACATCACATACCATGAGCAAGGACTCTGGGTAGAAAAATTCCCTCCATTCTGAGTGGTGCTAGAAAGATACAGAAAATGCTTATTTTCTCAGCTTCTCCAGACCAGGGAGGGTGGGGTGCACATCTCAGTGGGGTTTGGTTATGGCTTAGGTACAACCAAGCCATAGTTACATCCTATATCTGCTCAATTATAAAATCAAAGACACATTGCACTCCTGAGAGCCTGGGAAGCAGTTTCTGGTCCCTGGGCTAGTGAACGCAGAGTTGTTTGCAGCCACACAGCTGTGGGCTAACTACCTCTTCAGTAAACTGGCCCAGGTCTGTGCCCTGAATGCCCTGTGAGCCTTAAACTAAAGATTATTTTTCAGATGCTCTTTGCAGTTTTTACTCAGCTGCACTGAGCATGTGGAATCAAGGAGACTGAGAGGAAAGCTGCAAGTTGCCAGCATGGCAGGGATGGGACAGGGGATGGAGAGGTAACAGGGGAGGGTACTCTGAGTTCACCATTTTAATCAGTGTTCTGTAAATATGCCAAACCTGATTTGTCTGTCATCCTCAGGTTGGGAACACATAAATAAAAGATATGTCCTTTCTATGGCAGCACAAAATTGCAAAAACTCATCTGATACCGATCAAATGCACTTAACCATTGCACATGCACTTAATTCAGTATGAAATGTTATTACATTGTTATGTCTGCATGCACTAAATTCCCTTGTGCTCAGTTTTAAGGGACAGAAGCCCAGAGACACTTGGCAATCTCTCCTGGGAATTGCTGCTAATGCTGAGAGTAGATGGTGCTTCTTAGCCTGGGTCATTCATTTTTCCCTTTGCTTAGGCTGTTTGTTGTTGGTCTACACTGCACATTCAAGATCTGCAGTGTGGTGGCAGTAGTAGTAGTGTGAACATGGAAAAGAATCTGTTTGCTTGAAGACTGATCTGTTTTTATATTAGTCTGATAGAAAAGCGTTAGAGATCTGTCAGCCTTGCCCTCCTAAGATACTGGTATTGACTTATATTCCATAGGCAAACTGAACTTATTTACAATTATTGCAGACACCACTGTTGAAGTACCAAGTCAAAATGACCATTTCTGTTAGCTGGAACATTTGTAAAATGCCAGGAAATCATCAGTGGGTAGAGGAATTACTTTTTTCTAGTTTCTTGTCTAACATTGACAGTCATCTCTCCTTTAGATGCTTAACTTGTAAGGAAAGATCTTGTTTTTGCACTTTTCTGCATGTAATTTCATGTATCTTCCCCTGTATGAAGCTGTTTGACACATTAACACATTACAGGAGTAGAGTACTAAGAGAACCAGCTTCATTTGGGAGTAGACAAATAGACTTGGGTCTTTCTATGGTACAAGCTAAGCCATGATGCTGATTTTTTTATTTGGTCTAATTTCTTGTTTGATCTGCCAGTGTGGGAGTTAATTGTGTAAACACAGAAATATGGGAGATAGGGAGAAATACATTCTGTGCTGCCCTGTTCGGGTGGCTCTGTTTCTTGCTGGCTTTGTTAATGTGTTGCTTACAGCAGCTTAAATGGCAGGGGGGATGAGGAACAGTTGGTGATGAGAAGGAGTTAATGTGAGAAGACATGAAGAAATCATATTGCATGGTAGGAAATTGTTCTTCCCAACATAATTCTGTGCTAGCCCGTATAAGTGGGACTCTATAAGAGTACCCTGTGACTACACCAGGAGATGCAATGACATTAAGTTCAGGTGTTAAACAAATGTGTAACCAGGTTCACCTAATTTTGGCATCTGAGATGTTAGGTGGCAGTCATTCCTCTTGATGTCTGAGAGCGCAGACATTGTGGTGATGAGCTAGATCTCTGTTAGCACCTCAGGTTACTAACCTGGAGAGAGGAACTATGCACAAAAGGAGGATTTAAAGCTTCAACAGAGCAAACAAGAACTAACACCTGATTAAGTTATCCTGAGAATTGGGAAAAATGAACCTGCTGGGCAGGTATTCCCTAACGATGCTGTTTTGACTTTACTAGCCTGTCTTCTCAATGTACCCTCTATTTATTCAAAGAAAATCATCTGCTCCTCTCAGTTATTTCAAAGTAAAGTCACAAGAATAGCTTGTTCCCACTCTATTCCAAATATAGATGTTGGCAGCAATTGCTTAGATAAGGGAGAAGGAAAGGAACTACCAAGGAAGAGGAAAGACAGGAGGAGGAAGAGGGAAAAGAGAGCTGAGAAGGTTGGACAAGGGAGTAGAAAGAGAGACATGAATGAGAAGGGAGGTGAAAGAACAAGGACAGTACATCACAGCAGAGAAAACAAATCAAAGACAGCAACAACCTCCTGTGAAACAGGTGGAGTAACCCAAATATAGGACGAAAAGGACCATGCCTGCTCTCAGGAGAACCTGGGGTTTTAGCCTTGAAAAGCAACCAAACTGTAAATAAAATCACATCAAATTTTTTTGTTTGCTCAGATTGTAGAGGTTACATGATCAGAAAACTCAAGCTAACTTATGCCACTTAAAAATCTGGCCCGAGAAATTTTAAAACAAAACATGTTGCTTATTTTAATCTCGTTGGGGGGTGGGTGTTTGTTTGTTTATTTAATTCTCTGCTGCAATAAAATTTGCTGTCTGTTCTGACAAAAAGCCATCCAGTGGGTAACTTTGCTGAAAATGAATCTGAATCCCCTTGTCCTAAAGAATTCACAGTTAGGATGGTCTTCTGGTGAAACTGGAGCATGTAGGCATACCCTCAGGATCAGGAAATAAATGCAGATAAAAACTAAGGAAAAGCCAGAACCACACATAGATTGACTTACCCGGAGCAAAGATCTGAGTGTTTTCATGGCTGAAGGCAGACTTCTTTAAGACCAAAACGGAGAGAAATGAGACATAAATGGAAACAGGTTCTGAGAAGTGGCACATAGAGCAAATGCAAACAAGTGCTTGGAAATGTAGAAGTCATGTAAGTGGCTCCAGCTTCCTTGGAGAGATGGAAAGTTTCTGGGAAACACCCCACAGAGTGTTCTCTATCTCTTCTCAATAGCAAACTGCTTGGAAAATTGTGTTAGAGGTTTGCTTTCCCTCCTGGTTTGCTGGAGAGAGATGTTATACCTGACTTGTCACCTGAGGATAAAAAGCTATGCCCAGTTCTGAAGACACTGTTTCCTATAAAGTGAATGTGTCCAGAAACCCTTCTGACAGGCTTCCTAAGCACTCAAACACTAGGTCAGGGGACCAAGAGAACTGAAAATGTGACTCTTGCTGCACTTGTTTTATTTCAGTCCTTCAAGGAAGAAGGCCACTTGCATCAGGAAGGGGTGTGCTCAATTAGTCTCTCTCTGGACTGAAGGCCCAGCCATGGGACAAGGCAGTGTTTACACAAAACACAGGAGGCACGTTAGACCAGGAAATACAAGGGTAAGTAAAACTAGTTTCAGAAGAAAGGACTGGAAAGTAAAGCTTTTCAGGCAGACTATCACTATTTCGAAACAAAGTTGTCATTATTTTGAGTCTTATCTCATGAATGACATGTGTATCCCAGTAATTTTCACAGCTGAGAAGCAACTTTTTTTTTCCCTTGTTCTTTTTTTTTTTTTCTTTGTCCCCCCAGCAAGCAGCATGCAGAGCTGATATTTTAGCCTTTCAGCAGGGATGCCCTCTGTGGCTTGCTCTCTCTTCACTGCAGTACGTGATCCCCCATCGGCACTGTTGGCGTTGTGGGGGTCACAGGCTGTGGCCGGGATCTCTGACTCAACAGGGCTCGAGTCTCCCTAGAGGCAGCACGAGTGTGATGAAAACCTTTAGCGGTGCTGTTATACGGCGAAACAGCAGCAGAACTCAGGCCAAGGCATCGCTCTTTGCTCGGCTGCTGTCCTCGCTGGCTCCCGAGAGCGCCTTTCCCCAGGAGAGGGCAGTGGAGCCCGCACACGCTCCCGCTCCCCTCCCCTCAGCCGCGGGAGCATCCGTTCCCTCGGGTGTTCCCTGGCAAACTCATGGAAGTAGGACCACGGATTTTATATATACGCTAGGAACCGTGTACAGGAACATCTAGGAAATTTTCTGTGTTTATTAACGAGAATAAGTTTTGAGCAAACAAGTTCGTTGTTGGTTTTATTTGACTGGAAGTTTTCTCTGTCACACATAGTTGTTCACAGCCACACAAACTTAAACTAGTAGTTTATTGATTCCACATGGGTTTATTAATTCCTATAGCCCGAATTAGAAAAAGTTATTGACATTTAAATAACCCTTCAGAATGCTGCTACTGCTATCCTAAGCCAAGGACTCACAATAAAGTTATTTACTTATTTCAAATTTACAGGCACTCATCCTAAGACAACAAGCAGCCTTGGCTGAAAACCACAGAGTGGTTTCAAGGTACTGTAATTAGGGCAGACTGGGATGCCTTCTCAGCTCTTTAACCATCCCCTTCCCCGAGCATGCCAGCAGTCAGCCAGATGTTTTCTGTAAGTTCATGTTTACAGCAGGTTTCCCTGGCTGGATTCCAGGTGTTGGTGACTGGCCAGTGCAGACTCAGAGCCTGTGAGGGGCAGGCAAGGCAGACTAAAGGGAAGTGGCTTTTGCCAGCAGCCTGGGAGTCCAGCAGACACCCCTGGCCAAAACAGAAGGTGAAAGAGTAAACAAGCATTTCTTCCTGCGAGGGCATGACAAATCTTTCCCCAGTGCAAAGGGACAAATTTAGGAAAATGAAATTCAGCTTTGGAGAGAAGGTTTTCTCTTTTACATGAAACATTAAAAACTCACCAACCCAAACATGAATCTAGCCCATACTTAGGACAGACATTCTTTGCTGTTGTCAGGGTCATTCATCTCCAATCTGTAAACATCTCCCTGTTCCCAAATGACTTCCTACTCCCTAGGGCACCTGCTGAGCTGGGGCCACCTTAACCCTCCTGAAAGCAGCAGGATGCAGAGTGGAAGCAGCAGGGTGTGTTTCCCATGCAGGCCTGTTAGCACAGGAGGTCGGGTGAGTTTTGCTGCAAAAGCATAGTAACCCCCTGGAGAGATGACTCAAATGTGTGATGCTAAGCTGGTTAAATGTGTTGCCAGCTCCACAGATGATAAACTGCCTTTTCTTCCTCAGCCACTCTCAACTCAGGTACACAGGCAAAGATGATTTTATTTCTACAACTCCTGTCTCAGGTACTGGTGGTAGAGAATGACTGCAGGAAAATATACCCACAGTGCAATGTCACCTAGCAGCTTGTTAAGAGAGTAAATACAGTAAATCCAAAGGGGCCCGGCTTCAGAGAAGTTGGGAATAGGAGAGAAGCTCTGCCTTTCAGCTCTGAACCATCCTCAATCACTGCTATAGCCACTAAGAGGTCAGGCATATTTGAGGCTCTTGGTGTGATCGGGGATTTGGCAATTTGCACCAACAATCTGTCACTCATATGAAGCCACGTGGTTATAGGAACCACAGAAGTCATGAGGATATTTCTGCATGTAAGGGTCATCAACATCAGTGTGAGCTGGACAGTCCAACCTTCAGAGTCTGCTGTAATCAGCCAAATGGGGATCAAAGGTACAGAGCACATGCAAAGCAGTACAGCAAGGATATCTGAAAAGGGCCCAGAAACATTTGAGTTTCATCTGTCAACAACTTCCTGAAACTGAGCATTAAGTATGCTTCCATCTTGCCCCACACCAGATCCAGCTGCCATTGAGACAAAGCCCCCATTGAAAGATGCCGAGTGATTTGATTGTCCCTGAAAAGGCTGGAAATCAGACACAATTTATTCTATTCTTAAGAAGCCTTTTAAAATTAACCAGCCAAGTCAACTACAGTAGTATTCCACAGGTGAAGTTAAATTTTATTTGTGTTGGTCTTTCATTCAGTCCTTTTCCATAGTGGAAGAATATTAAATTAGCCAAGTTAGTTCAAAGCTAGAGTTGATTCATGGGGGGATTAAGGTGGGGTGTGAAACCTTGGTTCTCCTTTCTTCTGTGTGCATTATGATTTAGTGTTATCAGTGGGCATATGGTATTTTGGATTAATACAAGATGATGTAGAATATCTATAAGCCCTAAATCTGAGATATCTGCAATGTTTTGCAGTAAGGAGGGTACTGCACTTAGAGTTACTGTTTCTCAAATTCATGTAAAGTAACTCACCCCACTGCACAACAGATTCCAATATTTTGTTCTTTCATAGTAGCGATTAGACCAATTATAGCTCAGCTGTAACAGAAAGGTACAATACAATTGCTCCTACTTTTCAGTCAAATTTCCCAGAACCTGTCTCTCTGTCACACTTTTAAATTTTACTTTTAAATTGAGGTGGTTTTTTTAAATGAAAATATCTAGAATCCCACTGAAAGCTTGCTTTCAACTAAATCTCATATGTCAAACTGTATTGGCTGTACATTAAGTGCTAGAGAGGACTGGTAACAAAAATCTACGTTAAAACCCACTGTTACATATTTACTAATTACTGTGCATACTTCCCTGATCTCTCATCAAGGCAAATATCTGGCTTTATGCCTACTATTCCTTAACAAATGCCCCTAAAACCTTTATTTTTCCAGGGATGCTGCTGTCTAGGACTCCGTGGTGTGATGGCTGGACAAGTAATGAACCTGGAGCATCACCAAAGCAGTGACCTAGAGGAACTGAAGGAGCCTTTCTCAGCTGGGGTGTGAGGTGTGGCATGGATAAAGAGGGCTCTGAGAGACACTGTGACAGTGCTTGGGAGCCAAGGCAGCAGGTAAGTCTATACCCCACAGGGATGCCCGAGCACACCCCTCTTCTGCGGCACAGGCTGTAATGTATTAGACCTGTAAACATTGGTAGCTGCAGTCAAAAATGAAAGCAAAGAGTTTTCAGCTTTCCTATGTATTCTCTGGCTTGTTGCTTTGGAACAGGAATGCACTGTCATAATATCTCTCATATGTTGCCATGTCTTGCTGCTGCTTGGGTTGTCAATGGGTTGTTTTTTTTCGCTGCAGACTATTGAAAAAGGGCCTCGCACGCTACAGACCATATGTGAGAGTTGCTTTCCTAAATGCAGTAATAAACAGCCACGAGATGAAATATCCCCAAGTAATGAGATTAGTGACACGGGATACAGCTTTCAAAAATAATTACATCTGACACCCTCATCAGCAAGAAGATGTAGGGGCTGCAAGCTCTAAGCTTGGGAACAGCATATGAAAGATTGGCTTCTCCTGGGAAGGGAGGCACAAGGGAGGTTATTTTTAGTACTTTGGAGGAAAAAAAAAAAAAAAGCCAGAATTTAAGCACTCTTTGGTTTGATACCCTCGTTATGGAGGAGATCATGGAGAAATAAAGCAAAAGCGGCAGTGGAAATGTCACTGAGGATGGAAACTGTGGGAGCACGAGGCTGAACTGAGCAAAGCAGGAGCGGCAGGGTCAGAACGGAACGAGGTGGGGCGGGGGAGACACTCCTGTCCCCCCTCCCGGTCCCGTCCTCGCTTGTGCCCGTCGGTACAATAACAACCCAGCGACGGCGGAGCAGGCGGTTCCGTTTTCGCGGCGGTATATATAGATCAGACACTTTCCAAAACAAGCAGCGCCGCCGAGTCGCTCTGTTCGGCGGCTCTTTCCACCCGTAATTCAGAAAAAAAAAATTTATTATTTAAAATTACTTTTTCTTTGACAAAGGAGAAGCTCTATTCCGTGCATGCGGCTGTTTCCTGACCCGCCGCCGGTTTGCGGTTACAGGCTGCTGAGAAAGTGAGCGGGGTCTGGCGGGGCGGCCCCGGGACCTCCTCTGCTTTTCCGAACCTTTTTAAAATTTTTCCGGAACAAGCCCTAAAAAGGCAGGCGGGGCGGGGCCGGATCCTCGCCTTTTTAGGACAAGGGCCCCGCCACCGGAATACCCCCCTGGGCGGCGCGGCGGGCGGCGGCGGGGGCCGAGCGGGGCGCGGGGCGCGGAGGGTGCGCGGGGCGGGGGGCGGGCGCGGGCCGCCGGGTCCCACACGCGGGCGCCCACGTGACCGCCGGGCCCCGTTCCTCAGTCCTTATATGGGCAGTGACGTCCCGGGCATTCAGGGGGCCCCCATAAATAGTTACCGCCAGACTTGTCCTCCAGCGCGAGCTGCGGCGGGAGCGCGGCGCTCCCGGGGCACCGCGGGCCCCATGATGACCGCCAAGGCGGTAGACAAGATCCCGGTGACCCTCGGTGGGTTCGTGCACCAGCTCCCCGAGGCCATTTACCCGGCGGATGACATCTCCGCCGCGCTGCCAACTTCGGTCGCGATCTTCCCCAATGCCGACCTGGCAGGGCCGTTCGACCAGATGAGCGGTGTGGCAGGAGGTAAGCGGAGCCCTCGCAGGTGCGGGCCGGGCCGCCCGCGGAGAGCGCCGGGGCGGCGGAGACTCGGGGCGGCGGGCGGGGGACGGGCTGGGACGGGGCGCCGGGACCCTCTCCGGGGCTCTCCCGCCGCCCGGCCGGGTCCCCGCCGCCCCTTCGCGGCAGCCCTACCTCCGCACCCAGTTCGGGGGGGAAAGTTGCAGTCGGCGCGGAGCCCCCCTGCCTCCGGAGCGCAACATGTGCGCGCCGCAGCCCCGCGCCGGGCCGGGGCGGGCGGTGGCTGGGACCGGTGCCGGTCGTCCGGCGGGTGGCGGCGCGGAGGGCTGACCTGCTCCTTGCCCCCCCAGACGGCATGATCAACGTGGACATGGGCGACAAGCGGGCCCTGGACCTGCCCTACGGTGGCGGCTTCGCGCCCAATGCCCCGGCTTCCCGAAATCAGACCTTCACCTACATGGGCAAATTCTCCATCGACCCGCAGTACCCTGGCGCCGGTTGCTACCCCGAGGGCATCATCAACATCGTGAGCGCGGGGATCCTGCAGGGGGTCAGCACGCCCTCCTCCGCCGCCTCCTCCGCCGCCTCCTCCGCCTCCTCCGCCGCCTCCTCGGCCACCGCCGCCTCCGCCACCTCCCCCAACCCGCTGGCCGGGGCCCTCGGCTGCACCATGGCACAGGGCCAGCCAGCCGACCTGGAGCATCTCTACTCTCCTCCGCCGCCGCCCTACTCGGGCTGCGGTGACCTGTACCCGCAAGACCCCTCCTCGGCTTTCCTGCCCGCCGCCGGCGGCGGGGCACTGCCTTTTCCCCCGCCGCCCTCCTACCCCTCACCGAAGGCGGCGGCGGCCGACGGCGGGCTCTTCACCATGATCCCCGAGTACGGCGGCTTCTTCCCGCCGCCTCAGTGCCAGCGGGAGCTCCACGCCGGCCCCGACCGCAAGCCCTTCCCCTGCCCCCTCGACTCGCTCCGCGTCCCGCCGCCCCTCACGCCGCTTTCCACCATCCGCAACTTCACGATGGGGGCGCCCCCGGCGGGCGCCGCCCCCGGCAGCGCTCCCGGCAGCGGCGGGGGCGAGGGTGCGGGCGCCCGGCTGCCCGCCGGCGCCTACAGCCCGCACCACCTGCCGCTGCGGCCCATTCTGCGGCCCCGCAAGTACCCCAACCGGCCCAGCAAGACGCCGGTCCACGAGCGGCCCTACCCGTGCCCCGCCGAGGGCTGCGACCGCCGCTTCTCCCGCTCCGACGAGCTCACCCGTCACCTCCGCATCCACACGGGCCACAAGCCCTTCCAGTGCCGCATCTGCATGCGGAGCTTCAGCCGCAGCGACCACCTCACCACCCACATCCGCACGCACACCGGCGAGAAACCCTTTGCCTGCGATTTCTGCGGTAGGAAGTTCGCCCGTTCCGATGAAAGGAAGCGGCACACCAAGATTCACCTGCGCCAGAAGGAACGAAAAGGAGCCGCCGCCGCCGGCGGGTGCCCGCAACCCGGCGGCGGGAGCGGCACCGCCGCCCTGGCCCCCTGCGCGGCGCGGACGCGGACNGGAGCGGCGGGTGTACATAGGGGCTGCGGCGGGAGGATGGATGCATGCAGTGCCGTCGTGGTGAGGTGTCCTTGGTGCCTTGTGTGGTGTAGAGCCCGGTCCCCTGTCTGCATGTGGGGGGTGCCTTACCGATCCGCTCCGACGACAGCGGCGACACCGAGACCGGAAAGTTTTTCCCTCCCTGGTTTTAGTATGGCTGTACATTTCTGCCTATTAATATTGGGATTTTTTTTTTTTTTTAGAGACTATATTTTTGTACGCACTGGTTTGGGGTTTTGGTTTTGTTTTTCTTTTTGGTGACTTAAAAGTGTTCCGTTTGTAGTAGGACTTGGGACAGGATGTAAATACTCGGGCTGGGACCGGCGCCCGTGGTCGGCCGGGACCCAGCGCGCCGCAGGTAACACGAATAATGCACAACCACTAACGGGGGCTGGAAGGAGAGGGGGGGGTATCTTTCTGGCCACTCTGTAAATAAACTTTTCGACAATAGGGTAGGTGCTTACAAAGTTTATAAAAGACGACAAATAAATCTCTTAATTATGCTAAATTGACATCTTTATTTCCGTAGGTTCCCTGGCCTGACCCAGGGAGGGGGTGTTCCCCGCCCGTCCCCGACCCGTGCCGCGTCCCGGGGTCCGGGACGGACTGCGGGGCAGCCCGGCCGGGGTCCGACGGGCGCACCGCACCGCCCCGCAAAGCCTCGGCGTGGAAAACCTGCGGCCTCGGCCCCAGCGTACAAACACTCGCTTTTGGGCGCGGGAATTTCCCTCGGAGACGGGATAATATTAACCAGGGAGCGGGGTGGGTTTTTTTTGACTCATTCTGTTTTGTTCCGCGGTTACGATCCGCCCCAGGCAACCTCCGCGAGTGGGCTCCGGAACAGTGAGTACCGCCGCCCCGACGGCCGCCGCTCGGGGGAAGCGGCTCCCGGCGGCGCGGAGCTGCGCGGGCGGTGCCGCGCCCGCGCCCGGGGTTGCCCTTTTTTTTTTTTTTTTTTTTGTAAACTTATTTTCGTTTTTTTAAATGCTATTCCGGCCTCGGCCCCACCATCAGATCCTGCAATCGGTGCAGGGCCGTAAGCGCCCCGCGGGCTTGCCCCTCTGCCACACAGATCCCTGGTGCGGCCCGCCCTGCAGAGGTGAGCTGTGCAGGATGGACATCACTAACACCACAGTCCAGCACAGCGGGGCGAAGGGGTTAAGCCCTTTCTTGGTGGTTCCCAGCCTCTGCTTGCCCAGGTGTTAGGTCCCATAGTGCAAAGCCCCAGCAGCACCTGCCTTTTCTGTCTGATAGAAATCCCTGCTCCCCGTTTTCTGGAACTCATGCCGGCTTTTGGGGCAGCTGCTCTTCAGTGGGAGCTGAAGCGACATGTCCGGTTTTGAACCAAGACAGCTTTTGAAGTTGGGCATGGACCAGCCTCTGCAGGAGAAGCTGCGCTCACTGCCCCGCCATCCACCTTAGCAGCACAAGTAAGCCTTCACATCCCGGTTTGCAGTTTTGCCACCTGATCCCACATGGTCCTGGCCCCCAAGAGACCACAGCCAGCTGGAGGGATGTCATACAGAAGCTGTGGCCTCCTCGACTGCTGTGCTTCTGCAGGTACCGCCACAGCCTTGGATAACCAAAGCTTGGTCACAGCCAGAGCATCTTGAGCAAAATTGCTATCTCAGCTACCCAGACACAATCCAAGGCTCCCCCTGCACTGTCCAAACTGTCTCCAGCCACGCTACAAAATTAAAACCCAAATCAAAAGCAAAAATGATATAAACAACACTGAAATCATAAAAGATGTGAACTAAGGAAACTGCTGGTGACTAGTGTACGGCTACAAGAGCACCTCACATGGCACAGTATCAATGGTCCTACACTCCTGTCTGTGCCTTACACTGAGAGCCAGCTTCAGAAGCAGCAATAGTGTATGTGCCTGGATTTGCCCGCAGGATCTGGGCTGAGAATCCAGGGCTAAGCATCGCCTCCCAAGGAAAAGCTGGTCACACTGTTCAACTGTCAGGCCAAAGAAACCAGAGCTCCGTACCGTGCTTGGCTCGAGGCTGTCGTACTTGTGAAGGAAAGTAATGACTGGTCACTGGTGAGATATCTTGTATTTATTTTACAATTCAGCAATAATAGTTATTTTGCTGTCGTGAAAACACAATAACCAGACTGCAGAGAGAAGGAATGGCATTACAGACTTAAACCTTCTGCTTACAGATATCCAGAACATAGGAAGTAAGTTTCAATTAGTGAGTAAGCAAGAAGTTACACAAAGAGGCTTTTAAAAAAAATGCATCTCAGGTTTTCTTTGCTATTTTTCCAGCTTTAAATACTTTGGTACTAACACCTTAATTAAAAAAAAAAAAAGGAAAAACAAGAGAGAAAAAAAAAGATTTTGCCATGGTTAACCAGCACTCCGCAGCGTGACCATGCTGTCCTCTTCACAAAGATGCATTAAATACTGTCCCACTAAACATCTTGACTAGGTTTTACACATGGAGGAATGGAGGAAAAAAATTAAAAACTCAGCAGAAAGACCTAAGGGGAGGATAGAGTATTTAGGATGAAAAATGCTCACTGTCGCAGTTTGTTTTTCCAGTACAGCTGTTTGCATGCACCATGCTATCCTCTTTGTGGACTTCTGAAAAAGGATAACTGTCTGCATTAGGCTTGGAGAGAGGTAGAAACAGGCTGTAACACAGGGAGGCATTGCCTTATAATTAATGACTACATTCGATCAAGAATTGTTAAACATTAACTAATGCTAAGCTGCAGGGGAATTCCAAGAAAAACAGGTAAGCCAGCTACAGAAATATCAGACACCTTTAAGTGCTCAAAGAATAAATGGAAATCGCCTGAAATAATTTCTACCAATTTTTTCCTTGCAAAATAATTAATCCATGCATGCATAATGCTGACTTCTATATTACATTCATTCTTTCGCAGGCCAGGAAAAAAAAAGCAGCAATGCCATATCAGAATCATTTAAAAATTCACACATACAAGCCACTGTACAGGAAAAACAAGTCTGCTTTTATAAATACACAGAAAAGTGAAGCCAGTTGTGAAATGATTTCTGGAGCAGGCTGGTACATCACTTAGGAGGTTGCTAAGTCGCGTTTTCTTACTCAAATTCGCAATCAGGACTGAGATGGCCAAGGCTGCCCTGGCCTGGGTTTGTGGTACGAAGTGTGTGTTAGGATGAACAGGCAAAAGACCAGTCCCCGCAGCACAGATGGGGCACTTCACCTGTAGAAAAACTCTCTCCCGTGTTAGAAAGATTGCATCCCCTGCTGTGGACAAACTGCATCTCCAGAGCGCTTCCATCATAGCAAGGCAAAATTCATGGTGTCTCTTCTACTCTACGTTTATTTAAAAGCCTTATGAAAAAGTAGTCTTTATAAATAGTATAAAGATGGAAACTGCAAGGCTTCAAAAGCCCAAAGCGTTCACATATAAAAACACAGACCACGCTTTAAAGAGAAGACATCAGGTCAAATCTTATCAGTACCTAGGGTATGTGCTGCTGTATACTGGGGGTTTGCAAATACGCCGTGTTTCTAGAATAGCTTCCACAGCAGTGGATAGTTGTTTTTTCTCTTATGATGCCCAGTTTCTGCCACCTTCTGCCACTGCAGTGTTAGATGTTCCAAGCGAGGTTAATCAGCAGCTGTCTCCTTCTTGCTGAAGGAAGTATGCATAGATGCACTCAGTAATTCTCAGTTGCAATAGCGAGATCTTGTATATGACACTTGAAAGAACTGTTGAAAAGTAACTCTGAACCTGACAGTGTCCATTACTTTGGAGAAGTAATTTCCTTAACTCCAGCCCTGGGGATTGACCACTGGCATTTACTGGAGGAGCATGTCCTGGCACAGGAGTTGTTCTGGATTTGTTATTTATTAGCAGGGTACGGCTCTTCTTGAGAATCGCTCTGGAGACAGTCCCCAAAGGCCGTAGCCAGACCAATCCCCCTTCCCAAACTCAGTGGGTACAGTCCCCAAGTCCCCTGGTGCCAGCTGGCTCTAGCAGTGGGAGCCCCACTGAGAAAAGCCGGGGCGCCGTGTGACAATTCTTATTGCATTTACTCTCCCTTTGGAGCCTGAACCCCCTCCCTGATGCGTGGCCCTAACTATTTACACAGGATGCTGGAATATTTCCCCGACCCTTAGCTGAGCAGCTTAATCACGCGGCTCCCGCGCATCGGCCCCAAGGGCATAAACACATTCTGGCGCTTTATTTCTCCGAAGCCCGCGATCAGAGGAAGGTTCTGACCCACGGCGCTCCCGCGAAGCTCCAGCCAGCGCGGGACACCGCGTCCCCGCGGCGCTGCTGTCCGCCGGGCTCGGGGGGCGGCCGGGCGGGGGGCGGCGGCTTCCCCTCTCGGCGGGGCGAGCGCACATCGTCCCTAGCGGCCGCCGCCCGGCACGGGCCGCCGGCGGCGACTCAGAGGCAGACGCGAGGCCCGGGGTAGGGCTCGCCCCCGCACCAGAAGTCGGAGGCCTGCGGGGTCTCCACCAGCCACACCTCCCGCGGCAGCGCGGGCGGCTCCGCGCCCGCCGGCGGCCCCTCCAGCAGCCGGTAGTAGTGGCAGTCCCGGCCGTGCTGGGGGTCGTAGGGCGGCGCCAGGATGTCGAGAAAGGCGGCGGGCCCGTCCACAGCGTCGATTTGGTGGAGGTTGTCGGTGTGCGGCGAGAGCAGGCAGGGCGGCGAGGCGCGCGTGTACTGCTGGCGGGAGCGGAAAAGGGCGCGCAGGCACGGCCCGCTGCCGGCGGCGGGGGGCGGCGGGGCCGCGGCCGCCCCGGCGGGCAGCGTGTCCATGCAGGCGATGCGCAGCGTGCCGTACAGCACCTTCAGCATGCCGTTCATGCCCGGGTGGTCGTGCAGCGGGATGCAGGCGCCGCTCCGCAGCAGAAACACGCCCATGCTGAAGCTCTCCGTCTCGCAGATGTGCATGTAGCTGACGGGCGGCACCACGCCGGCCCACGGCGGATCCCCGCCCGCCGCCGCCGCGGCCGACGGCCCCCGCGGCGCCAAGTGCAAGTCCTCGGCGCGCACCTCGTCCAGCAGCTGCTGCAGGCGGTGCAGGTTCTCCCCGAAGGCCGGCCCCGCCGGGCTGCGGAAGGTGATGCGCGCCTGCCGCGCCACCCGCTGGATCAGGGAGGCCATGTTGTCCCGGGGCATGGCGGCAACGGCCCGGCCCGGCCGCGGCGGGCGGGGCCCGGCTCCGCTTCCGCCACCGCCCCCGGCCCGCCGCGCAGCCGCGCCGCCGCCGGGCACCACGGGGCTCGTAGTCCGGGCTGGGACCCCGCCGGGGAGCGCGGAGGAAGGAGAAGGAGGGCGGCTGAGGTGAGGGGGCGCGAGGGGCCGCGGGGCCGGCCGGCTCCCAGAGCTTGGGGCGGCTGCCATTGGGCGCTGAGGGGAGGCGGGCGTGAGGGGAGGCGGGCCGGCGGGAGCGGCCGCTGCCCCCGCGCTGAGGGTCCCGCTCCCCGGGGCTCTGGCA